CGCCCAAACTGCGGATGTGATGGAACCCAGTTTTCGCAGATAGTTGTTATAAGAATGAAAACTCTTTTGACAATATTATTGTAAGGGTTTCCTCTCCATCTTATGTTTACAGGCGGCACGCCCAAACTGCGGAGGTGATGGAACCCAGTTTTCGCTGAATAAATTTTTTGAAAAGCTTTCAATAAGATAGTTGTTGTTAGAATGGAAATGCTGTTGACAATATTATTGTAAGGGTTTCCTCTCCCTCTTAAGGTTTACAGGCGGCACGCCCAAACTGCGGAGTTTTCACTGAATTAATTGTCTCAAAGCTTTCAATAAGATGCTTATGATAGGAAGAATGAGATTGAATTCTAACTTTTTTTCAGTTTTACCAAGGACAACACCTTCACATCAGTTATTGTCTCAAAAGTAATGTTGTTTGCTCTTTTTTAAGTTTTTAGGCAAAAGACATGGCATTGATGTTCAGCTGAAATTCCAATGAAGAACTGAATGAAAAAAAAATCCTGCAGGTCAAACCAGGGAGTTTGACATTGCACTGACTGCCGGTGACAAAAAAACGGCTCTTTTAGGAGCCACCATATGTATTAAACGATAATAACCAATCACAGAGTAGACCAGTAAGTGTATATTAAACTGTATCATTTCAATCTTTATGCCCTACTTTCAGCAAAGATTGAACAGATTTAAAAGCTGTTTTGTTGAGCACAAACTGATTCTTTGCTGGTAAAAGCAGCTACTGATTTGTTAACTAACATTAAATTGCTACTAATTAAGCACAAAATCGCTGAAATACATATGAAATTCATAAAATAGGCTTTTCAATTTCCTTTAACAGGTAAAAACATTATTTAGTAGATTTAAATACCATGTCTGTTTAGTTAGTGTCTATATAAGGTAAAATTTGCTTTTGTGGTTTTACTAAAGTTGCATGAAGAAGTTGCATTTTTTTGGTATAAAAAATTGATGTTCTATTTTCAACAATGACTACACCTTCCCATAGATACTAAATCTTCCAAGGTTAATGTTTTATGCTCTTTTCAACTTACACTTTAGTGAATAATATGATATCTATGTCAAGCTTACATTTCAAAGAGGCAGAGAAGAATAAAAAAAACAAAGTTAACCTCTGTACAGGTCAAACAAGGAAGTTTGACGATTAACACTGCTCTTTGCAGATAAAAAATGGAAGAGAAACAACTTCCCAGATATTTCAGGGAAGTGAAGTCCACTTTAAAGCCATTGCCTGAATGTTCGATCAATATTGAAAAGACTGCAAATTAAAAAAAAACTGATCATGAAAAGAAGTTTCGAACAGTTACTTTTTTAATATAGAGTCTTATTGAAAGTTTTCCATTCCTTGTGGTGGAGTATAGATCTGGCCACCAGATTACTTCTACCTCCCTAGTGGTCCTTCCTTGTCTTGGACCCACCTCCAAACTTGCTTTGGCTGTTAGACGTTTGGTTAATAGATCCCCTGACGACTCCTCATTTCTGACAGTGCTCCAAAAACTACAGTTCTTGGCAGCCTGGAGCTCCTCCTGAGGGCTAAGGTCAGATCTTGTCTCCACTTCCTGTAGGTCACTCTACCAGGCCGTATCATTTAGTTTAAGAAGGGTTTGTTCATGCAATGCATCAGTAAATGAAGTGAGGCTATACATTTTATAGGAAACTCGCCTTGTTGATGAGCAGTAAAATGGAGGCTTCTTATAAGGTACCTGCCTCATACTATGCACCCTGCATCCCATTTGACAAGATAAGTGCCCAAAGTACCTTTCAGGAATTTGTGGGAACTGTAAAGTCACCAAACCACCTAGAAATGAAAGTAGACAAAACCAGCTACAATTAAATTGGGTCTTCAGCACATTTTTTTGACAGGAGGAGTGTAAGTTTAAGCTTTCTGAGATCATCCGACATTCTAAGTAAAATATAGATTTATTCATTCATTCTGTTTCGTCACGCAACGCTCTTCTCCCGTAGCCGGGATCATTGTGTGACGAGCGAAACTCGAGTAACTTGCGCTCGTGCCAGTGAGAGAATCGGCTAAGGGATGCACCATTAGAAATGTGAAGGGGGGAGTCCAAAAACAAAAAAAAAAATCCTGCAAAACAAAATTTTAAGAAAAAAAAATCCTGCATTGCAACGAAACCAGAAAAAAATATCCTGCTTGGATAACCAATGTGACTGCGACAATATATTACACAGTCTGAAAAATAAATCTGTGATCTGTAACAGGAAATCCCCTTCCCCAACTTCCTAAATTCATGTCAAACTACATTTCAGGCAGAAAAAACAATTTCTACTGGCTAAATAGAGATTTCAATTTGAACCAACTCTGATGCCCTTGATCTCTATAGCTGCCATAGTATTAAATTAAGAGACTGTGGTGATAATTGTTTAACTTTATAAATTAAATAAACTTTTTATTGAAATACTTTTGTTTTAATGGGATTAAAGTGAGATTGTGTTAACAACGTCAATAGTTCCACTTGCACGCAAGTTTATGGAGTTGGTGTTGTACAATATGCGTTGCTACTTGAATCCATAAAGTTTACAGCTATAAACAAAAGTAGATGTCCCAAAAACACCAATCACACTGCAGATCCCGCTGCATTTAAAAGTATTAAGAATATTATTTACCCAAACTAACACAAAATATTTTGAATGCTTTGCAAAACCATAAATAGAAATGGTGCATTCTAATAAAAACTTGAACCTAAACATATGGGCCACAGACATATGGTAGGATTTAGAGGAAATGTTCTTCAAGTTCTTCCTCTGTATCCCAGTCCTCGCCTGATGAAGACTGACATGCTGGCTGCAGTTTTACTTCTCTTTTTTTCTTCTTCTTCTTCTTCTTCTTCTTCTTCTTCTTCTTCTTCTTCTTCTTCTTCTTCTTCCTTTTCTTTCTGTTTTTCTGTCTCTTGTCTTCCCTCAGGTTCTTTCTCTGTGTTCCAGTCCTTGCATGATAAGGACTGAGATGCTTCTTTCCTTCTTTCTGTTTCTCTGTTTCTTGTCTTCCCTCAGGTTCTTTCTCTGTGTTCCAGTCCTCGCCTGCTTGAAATTTCTTCTTTTGTTTTTCTTTATTTTCCTTTAGAGCATTCTTCTTCCTCTTTCTTCGCAATACTTTACTTTGGGTAAAACACCGTTTGATCTGCTTGTGTAGCTGTTTCAACTGCCACTGAACTCAGTTCGGACGTTTGAACGTATAGATTACTTCATGGGCAGCGCGGGCGTACGGTATTTACGCACGAGTTGGTTCGCATCAGAAATTGAACGAGCAAGGCTTTGCGAGTGAGATCCAGAAAGCGAGAGAGATTTATCTGACATACAATGCGAAAAAAAGTCCATGTCTAACACTGCACGTGTTTAGGTGTCCTATTACATTATGTACTAAACATCTGTGACTGAACGAAACGCTTTTTTTCACGTGTGTGAAAGTCGTTTCGCCATTCTGATTGGCTGCGAACCCTGAACAGGGTTTTCACACGCCAAATTTCAATAGAAAATCTCAATTAGTATGAAAAAAATATACTTAAAACAAACGTGTTCTGTTGGAACACTACAACAAAAAACATTTGCGCGGTTGAAACAGTCTAGTAAAACAAGACCAAAAGAGGGCATAGTCATTTTGGAAAAAAAAAATCGTGCAAGGGTTTGAAGGTTGAAAAAAAAATCCTGCACTCCTGCTGGTTGTGAAAAAAATAACATGCCTTTCCAGAAAGTCCTACCCCCCCCTTCACATTTCTAATGGTGCATCCCTAAATGACGCGCAAAGTACTTTGCGACTAAACTGAGAAACTAAATGCTAAAGAAAATAGCAAAGTTTGAGGGTAAAGACTGTACGCACAACCGAAAATATGATTGGGTAGTACCTTAGGTGGCTTTTAACGAGGAATATTCAAGTGCGTAGATCTAAATTAAAAGCGATGCAAAAGGCTTAGGTGGTATTAGGCTTTGTGCCGTTTAAATTCGCCACTTACCACGTAAACGAGGATTAAGGGAAGCGTTTATCTGCTCCGTAAGCCCTGCCAGCCACGATAAATATCCTATTTTAAAATCTTGCGATCTCCTGTTAAGAAATCCAATGTCGGGCACTGAAGCCTCGTTCTCCTCGTTGTCCAACAACACCACTCACCTTCCATCGTGTGTTTTCGTTCAGCGTGCTTTTGAAATGCGCTAAAAGTTTTGAACTTTCTAGTACATGAACAACATTTCTGTGAAAACGTAAGGCGCAGATCCATGTCGTTGTCAGCTATAACGGATTCGTTAATATCTCGCCGTCGATTTTCCTGTAGCAAACTAGAAATTTGTCAAGTAAAATTCCTTGTCAATCACGTAGGTTATGAGAATAAAGGACGTGATCATACAGCGCTTGATATAAAATAACTTCTCCTAACCATTTAAGAGGGAAATGTGTGAGGAAAGGAAAAAGGAATTTACTTTTGACACGTGGGTTAAGTACAGCTGTTCTACGAAAACATGGACTCAAACGAGCGAGAGGAGTTATGCAAAAAAGGAGAGCGAGTATTCCGAGTAAGGGATGGAAAGTGTCGTTCAAGAGCGCATTGAAAAAGAGAGAAAAGAAAGCAAAATAAGGCATGGCAGAGGAAAAAATGGGAGGAAGGATTGTAGAATGAGAACTTTCGTGTACCAGAAAGAGAGGAGTTGCCACAAGAGGAGAAGAATGATGAGAAGACTCGTGGACCAGAACTACAGAAGATGCCAGAAGAGAGAGAGGAGAATGAAAAGGTTCGAGAATCAGAAAGTGAGAAGGTGGCAGAACCACTGGCCGCAAACAAGAAACGGATCGAGGCCAACAAACTATCTCCGGAGGCAAATACTTTTTCCGGAGGCAAGGCATGGTCAATTTATCACATTCGAAGTTAAAACGGAATGGTCATACCGAAGAGAAATACGTGCCGGCCGCAAAAATTTCACGGAAACAAATCGAAGTTAGCTCCAGAAAAAATAGCATCGGCAAGAACTCAGAAGCTCTTGAGTTTAATGAGATCACGAGGTCTTTGTTGAAAGTGGATAAAAGCCAAAAAATTGGAAACGGAACCTTCGGGAACTGCTACATCGCCCTATACCGCAATGAATACCGCGTTGTTGTTAAAGAAATGAAAATAATTGAATCCCCAGAGAAGACAAGAGAGGAAGTGTGGCGAGAAGCATCGGCAATCACTGGAATTGGAGACCACTGGGGAATCCCTCTTGTGTTTGGTGTTTGCACGGATCGGGCACCATTTTATCTGGTTCTACAGTTCCACACTTTACGTAGTGAAAGCGTAACACTTTTTAAGGCCGCTTCGGAAAAAGTTATTCAAGATGTTGTCATGTGCGCAAATATCTTAAAGCAAACATGCGAAATACTAATGTTCATCCATGAAAGAGGTTTCTTGCACAACGAGCTGAAGAGCAATAATGTTGTCATTGACGGATCGGAAAACAAGCCCGTAATTATCGATTTTGGAAAAAGCTGCAAGATTGTTAAAGCCAGGTTACGTAAACCCAAGGTGAACATTGAGAAATCGATGAACAAATTTCCGCACATCGCACCGGAAAAACATCGCGGTGAAAGGCAGTCCATCGCTAGCGACGTGTTTTCGTTTGGCTATCTGGTCACTCGTTTATTTAAAGACGCTAAGGTAGAAACTCCACCAGTCCTGAAGGAAGTGGCTAAGAAATGCCAGAGGTCAATCTGACTTTTTCACCATCCTGACTAAACTATCATAAATGATTTTACTGTGCGTTCGATTGATCGTGTTCAGGAATAAGTTGTCCGATGTCTTTCAACCTTTTGTAATACGTCAATTGGAATAAGACTTACTGAAAAAATACTGAAAATCACTAATTATTGGCTTCCATTTACAATCCAGAATGTGTTGAGAATTTATACTTGAGGCCAGTGTTTCATTTAAGTCGTGCATAATTTTCGGTCGAAGAGTTTTTTTCAAATTTCTGCGTGTCATTATTCCGGAATTCGATCAATCGAACGCTTTCTTATTGAGGTGGTCAAACGGGCATCTTTTTTTCTTGCACAAGCCTCATCATGATCACACCAAAAATCTACTTTCTTCAATACAAGGAGAAACCACCTTTCAAATCATTGCTGAAACTTAATGAACGTCGAAAGTGGGTTACTCGATTAAAATTAAGTCTTGAAAGAAATTTCTGTCATCGTCTAGTTCGGCAAAGTTTTAGTAGGTTACCCTTATAACTTCTCCTGTGCAAGGAGGGAAACTTCTCGTGCATCCTTCTTTTGTACTTTTTAGGAACTGTGTAACTTATGTAAATATGTGACATATTTTTTAACGCCTTTGCTATAGAAATTATGTGCATAACCAGCGAAGTTGTTGACTTAACTAGTTTATAGATGTATTTGTGATGATATTCACGCAATTCTGCAAGGAAACTGAGCGCTTTGTGAAATTTTGTCACATTTCTCCGGTTTTCGACAGTCAGACGAAACCATTGCATAATACTTATTGTCGATTATGCCTTATGCTGCCAACGCGACAAAAGTCGACCAAGGATTAAAATTTAGTAAAGGAGAACATGCAGGCTTTCTTTTTTGTTAATACTTAGAAAGTTCAAGCGGCATTTAACAAGAGAAGATTTTCTTAGCTTTACAGCTGATTTCATTCCTATGTATACACCCGGATTTTCAGACATGATTCGACGGTCATGATTCGACCTGTCATGATTCGACACTAATCACGTGACGTATCGCTTCGCAGTACGTAAACGGTCGCGAAAATAATTGAGAGTTCTGCCGTGGGATCCGAAACAGTGAGAGAAAAATCTGGCTGGAAAGCTTAGCACTAAAGGACATAAGTGTAACGAAGCTAGAATCCCGACAAATGCGTTTTACCTGAAGAGGAAAGCTTTGTTGCTTGGAAAACAGCGACATGATACAGAAATTATGATAACATTTGATCAGGTGATAAACCTGGAGTTCGATTGCCGAGTCCGAATGTATTTCTGTAGGCGATTTCATAATGGACGAAATATTATCAACACGGCGAAAAGCGAAATAGTCCGACGGTTAATCGTTAGTCTTCTTCCGTATGACAAGGTTTCGGTGTTTTGCCGTTGGTGAATACCACCCGCAATTTACATGTAACAGTGATGCAAATTTAGTTAACAGGGGGGCAAATTTGTATTTCTTCAAGTTGGTACTTTTTCGTCCTTACTTAGCTTCTGCATGGTTAAAAAATAACAGGAAACCTTGACGTTTTGCCGGAGAAACCAACAGATAAATTGATCAGTCTGCCGTTGTGAAAGAATTTGCTGGGGGGTTTGAAAGTTTTGTTTTGTCGACCGTTTAAAAATATTACAATGTTCGATCCTCGACCTATGACCATAGTAAGCACAAATAAAGAAAACCATACATAAAAGAAAGCAAAATTTGTTTTTTTGGAAAAGGGTAAAATATGATATTTCCTTAAAGATCAAGGTAAAAGCCCAAAATAAGTTGAGAAAAGAGCCGAAAAACGTATTGATCGAGACGTCCACACGCCCGATAACATGCAGTATTGCGATTAGATTGCGTGACTGTATGAGAAGCTGTTATCCCGGAAAAGGAGAACAAATTATGGATCACAGTCCCCTTTTTCTGAATTACAAGAGAAATATTCAAGCTATCATTGTATGCTTTGATTCCTGTAGGATATTCAAGGTAAAATACTATACTGCTTGGTAACCTCTCGGTCGAATCATGACGGTCGAATCATGACCGTCGAATCATGTCTAAAAATCAGGGTGTATACACCGCACTGAAATCAGCTGTAATTTAGGGGCCAATCTGGATGATTATATATTGCCTGGTTTGAATCTGATACCTATGGCGATGGAACCGTTGCTGGGCACGCTTTTCCTTTCCAAAGCTACGAAATGATTTAGGTGGTATTTTCGTATTTCCTCTGGTTTACAGTAAGGATGATAATGATGTTTACATTGTACAGAAAGTATTAAGGACAGCAGGGGCAGGGTTGCCTTTATTAATCTCCTTTTTTTACTTTATGGAAAGTAAACACAAAATTCAAAAATTTGCTTTGTACAAGGAGGCTGTCACAAGAAAAATGGCAAGATATTAGAATTGATTAATTGTAGTTTGGTAAAATAAATCCAAAGTGCCCGGTGGCTGCCGGTTACAGTTTGAACAAATTGCGCGTGATGTGCAATGTCGTAAGCCCTCAAGTAAAGACGACATAATGCGGTCGTCCTGATTCTGCTGTTATTCAGACTGCAATAAGCTCGACCAATTTGTAACTTTTTAAATTCGTTTCGAAAACAAACTGTTGTTACCGCTCCAAAGCATCTCCTTTGTTGTTTTAATCTGTTACGTGTAGACCTTATCCTTTGTTAAACCTTTTCGATATGGACAGGAAACAGGGCAGCTGACTTTCAAGTTAAAACAGGTGGGGATGTTGGAAGTTTTTGGACTTATGAGGTACAATTATCTATTCATTAAACATGGACTGGTGTTAGTCGATTTAGGCACGTAGGGTCAGTTCGCAGAGGTATCACATGTATCCCATTTTCTTGGTAATTTTTATTGTAAATTAACATTGCAGTCACTAATATTTTCTCTGGTTTTGTTTTAGCCAGTAGAAGGAATCGCACGAGCGACAAATACGTTTGCATCGCCATCAAAATACTTGTTAAAATTCATCTCGAATGATATTTTTTCTGTTAGTCTTAATCGGTTTTATCGGTGTGGAGTGTAAAAGACGTTTATACTTGTTTTCAAACTATAATAGGCAAAATCCGTTTACTACTAACAGGATTCATGAGCACTTTCTAGTCTCCTGCTCCAATATTCTAATAGGCTGATTTAGCAACAGAACGGGAACGTCAATTGACGACTGCGCGCGCAATTCAAACAACTGGCTTGACCAATCGAAGAGCTGCAAATTGCGCACCGGAAGTCGAATTTAGTCCTTTCCCCACGCTTTCCCGTCGTCAAATGACGTTCCCGTTCTGTTGCTAAAGCAGTCTAGTATTTCAACAGCAACGAAGAAGGGTATTTTACATGTGGCCGAGTAGAAGGAACTAAAAGCAACTAAAAGTTCAACTGTGCTATTTCGCTCCATTTGAGTCTTCGCAAAATTATATTTCTGCTCTTGTTATTCGTAATTGGTAAATAATAGAAGAAAAGACTTTGTAAAGTGTACTACCCACATCTGTTCATGTTGCCCTGCTGGTGTAACTAGCTAGCCGCGAAGTGAAGGTTACCCGTACGGAAAGTTATATACGTGGCTGTCTGCGCATACTAGTGAACATTGTAGTCTTGATAATAGACAGCGGACAATACAAAAAACACAAACTTACAAGTATTGTAGCTCAGATAGATTGGAAAATATCGCAGGTGGAAGCTGTTTAATTTTGTTGCCAGACAGAACTCTGCAAGAATAAGGTTAATTAGTTTAACTGCGTATCTCATGACAACAACAATCAGTCAACCAGTTTAGTGGCAGCTAGTGTAGTCATCATCATCATCACCACATTTATTTATACACGGTAAGAACAATCAGGCTAAATATACAATATCCCAAAAATGTTTAGTCAGTCGTGTTTTGTAAGGGTCAGTGGAGGAAGGGAGGGATTCAGCGAACATAGGTAAGTTGACACTTAAACGAATTGCTTGGTTCCATTATATCCCCTCCATAATTATAGTGTAAAAAGTTTGGCGTTCTGTAAAACGTATTTGCGACCTTATTTTTTCGTTGTGCGACAAAAACTGCGAGAACACCTCAGTTTTTGTTCCATGTCGTTCCTACGCTTAAAGGTCAGTAAGGCATAAATTCTTTTCTCATTTGGAAAAGATATACCTTTACATGTTATATAGCAAAAAAATATAGTTCAAGATCTGAAATGATAGCATTTGCTCATGGATGCATTATAGAAACCGCGCTGAAAAGACCTGAAGCACGTACATTAGAGCATTTCCTCTTTCATTTCGAAAAGTTCACTTCTTCCTGGAAGTCGGAAGCTCCTAGTGTAGATGAAAGAAGACACCATAGTTCAAGGATAACTATATGAGTTCAGAAAACAATAGTATCGGTGCCCATGTTTATTAGGTTTATGTACTAAGGGAGTGGAGAGTAGGAGTGAAGGGAGGTGTCTGCCCAAATCATCTCCATCTCTGTATTCTATTTTACTTACACCCTGTCTCTATGTTACCGTTAGTCATATTAAGTATCACTGTTCACATCCATCACGCTTCGCGGCCCCCTAGTCGCGTTTCATTTTCCTTTTGGTGCAGTTCTGTGGTAATTTTCCGGTAGGTGCAGCTCAGTGAGGAAATATGCTTCTGCTTTTCTATGCTTATGATTGGTTTTGTTTCTTTAAGCCCTGTTATTCAAATGTCTTCATCCATCCACTGTTTACAGCCTTGTAATTGTTATAATATGTTTAAAAATAGGCAAGTGGGTGCCCTTCAGCCTTAGATTTTAAGGTTAACAGTGTATTGTGTGATTTGATTTGAAAGAGTGCTCCGACTCCATTTTCTTTCTTTAAGGAGTTATTTTTTATTTTAAATTTAAGGGTAATGGGAAAGGGATATTTAATGCATTTATTTATATTATTGATTGATTTAAATGTAGGTGCTTCCTTATTTAGAAATCCATGGAAGATGATGTGAAAAATTATACAGTGCATGATGCAGAAAGTGTTGCTTAGAGAAAGAATGCTACTTTGA